AATGCCTTTCAGGACTTTCCTCCGTTTTGTGAATACACACACATATATATATTTGATATAAAATATATATAATATATACAATATAATACATAATATATACTATATATATTTGTAACCAATTTTGCAACGAATTTCGTTTTCAGTTTGGCTTCAACTTTCTTATGAAAAATATTCCAAGAATTTATTTAGTTTAAAATTATTGAGGACATTAGTCAAGGGCCTTGAGAAAGCTGGAACAGAAAGCAGGAAAACGAGAATGAAAGAAAAGGCACGTAAAGGAGCATGGAACAGAACGATGGAACAGGAGGAGGAGGAAGAGAAACAAAAGGCTCAAAAAAGGCCCTGTTTCCAAGCCAGAATTTAACCAACTATAAACATCATCAACCAAAAATTCTGACAAGTTAGAATGAATGCCAAAAAAAGAATGAGAATAATTATTCTTGTGATCCGGAAGCAAAATGAAAACCAAGAACAATTAAAAAATTGAATATTACTGAGTTTCAAATTAAATTACAAATTAAAAACTGAATATTACTGAGTTTCTTAACATCAATTAATATCATATAAATCAGCGTCAAATCTAAAGTGGTTTGGCCTAAACAGATGCGAACGACCCTAAACAACAAGGACGATATCGCTCGTTAGGTCCGAGGAAGCGTATGAACCACGGCGCTATTAACATCACTAAACCACCTTAAATTTCACGTTGTGGACAATAGCATTGAAATTTGCAGTGCAATAAAGGTGAGCACTGGTTGCAACAAATCAGTTTTCGTGAAGTAATGGTAAGTTGAGAGACATTCTCAAGTCACAATCGACTTGAGAATGGTCCAGGACGGACCGAAACGTCGTCGTCCCTTCAACTTCTAGTGTGTGGTCTGGTCAACAAGTTGAGAGTGAAATTGTGAAGGAAGGTGGAATAATTCCAATAAGCTGAAAAGCTGCAGAAATTGAGTGAGTCAATTGACACAATTGTTATAGGCAGCCATGGACGTCGCTAAGAATAGTATAACACTGTAAGAATGTTTTAAGAATAGTCCCTGGATCGAAGAAGATTTATCGACTAAAGACCAAATGTCAATCTAAGTCTGAGGAGGAAATTATAAATGAAGTACACCATTAGGTCAGGTCAGATCAGACTTATGTAAGTCAGGTCAGACTTAAGTAGGTCAGGTCAGCCTTGAGTAAGTCAGGTCAGCCTTGAGTAAGTCAGGTCAGCCTTGAGTAAGTCAGGTCAGTCTTGAGTAAGTCAGGTCAGTCTTGAGTAAGTCAGGTCAGCCTTGAGTAAGTCAGGTCAGCCTTGAGTAAGTCAGGTCATCCTTGAGTAAGTCAGGTCAGCCTTGAGTAAGTCAGGTCAGCCTTGAGTAAGTCAGGTCAGCCTTGAGTAAGTCAGGTCATCCTTACGTGAATCAGGTCATCTTTCTTTGATGTAAATATTAATAGAGGTTATTTTATATGTGAACTGGATATGTTTGTATATATGTGTGCCTGTATACCCGTGTGTGTGTGTGTGTGTGTGTGTGTGTGTGTGTGTGTGTGTGTGTGTGTGTGGGTGCACGGTATGAGCGATGGGAAATAACATTAATAGATTTTATTCAAATAAATCTAATAAATTAAAACACATTTTATTGCTCAATGTCATACAATGCTAATGTATCTTGTTTTATAAATGACACGTAACTCTATTTTCTTTAGTTATAAACGTCATTTAAACTTGACAATGTATATAATATGCGTGTATAAATGCCATTATAAAAAATATTATTAAATCAATATCAAAATATATATATTTCAAAATACAAGTGTGTGGGGGGTGGGGGGTGGGGGGTGTATATGTGTGTGTATACTTACACAGATGTGCTAACCTAAGTGTACTTACAAAGTAGAGCGTAAGCTCCCAAGCCCTGTCTCCTACTTATCTAACTTGAGTAGGAAACTTGAATGTTGAGTGTCAAATGATTTCCAAGAATGGAGGATGACCAAATCCTCTCTCTCTCTCTCTCTCTCTCTCTCTCTCTCTCTCTCTCTCTCTCTCTCTCTCTCTCTCTCTCTCTCTCTCCCTTTCTCTCTCTCTCTCTCTCTCTCTCTCTCTCTCTCTCTCTCTCCCCTTTGTGTGACTGTTATCATCTTGCACACATCCCCTAATTCGCTTTTCAAGCACAATTTTCCTCTTCGGTAAATCCTTACCATTGCTAGGAGGTCAAAGTTCAGCTGTTCTATTTACTAGCCAGTTTCTCTAGTAACGAAAGGAGGATAATGCTAGTTGGTGATATGGGTGTGTGTAGTTCAGTGGTTCTTGTCTCCTGCTTAACCAGGGGACCAATGGTTGCACTCCCCCAACAACAGTCTGCCTCTGATAGTTATCATGGTGAGATATCGTTAGGACAAGAGCCCTGCTATCCCAGCTGCTGTTGTTATTTCTTTGTTAATGTCCTTTTACTGTTGGTGAATTTTTAATGTAGAGGGATGGGGGAGGGTGTGTTGTTTTTTCCTCTCCTTCTCTCTCTCTCTCTTCCTCTCCCTCTAGTCTCTTCTCCCTCTCCCTCTACCTCCTCATTCGGTCGGGAGGGTGATGCAGGCTTGACTGCGTGAGGAATAATTCGCAATTAGTGTGTGTCGGAGGACAAAATTTAGCACAGAGTGGACGTGATGGTTAGTCCTGGGGAGTGCCATGTTCTGTGGCCCTCCCTGGGGAGTGCCACGTCCTGTAGCCGGCTCTACAGGTCTGAATCATGTGTGAAATATTTTCCATTCGTGACGGCCGGATTAACGAGGATTTAGCCATTGATTATACAGGCCTGTCCGGCCTGTTTCTCCGTTAATATAAATGTAACTATTTTGCTAAACCAAAAACGTATGAACCGAAGTAACTCGCCTACCTACGGAGGCCGAGTCATAGAAAATGTTAATATTCCGGTACTTTATATTCCCTAATACATTCGTATTTTTAACGAATTTGTTGATTCTGTTGAAAAATGCTACATACTAGGTGATAGGATGGCATATATATACTGATGTGTATAAATGCCTATATATTCCTATGTAATTAACAAGGTATACAATGATTGGAGAGTTCCAAGTATGATGCCACAACCCGTCCTCACACCAAGTTCATTCCATCCAGCGGTCGACCCCAAACAAGCATTTGTCAATTTTAACATGCTGTTCATTCATTCAAAACGGGAATTTTCTCAAATATAAATTAATATTAATATATATTAGCATATTGTGTATATATTGGCATAGGTTAGGTTAGGTGTTTAGGTTCTGTTGGCGATTATTTGTTATTGTAGTACGTGGGTGAAGCATTTACAGCGTTGTGGTTCGTACACAAGTCGTCAGTGAAGCACTTGTTCCGGAAGTGTTCGAACGTCATCAGTTGTGAGTCGTGTGTAAACCGTTTTTCATTCATAAACAGAGGGTTTGGCGGGTGCATGGAATCACTTTTGGGTCTTTGATTGAAGGGCGGCCTGGGTGACACGCCCCCCAAGCTCCCATTGGCTGACTCGAACTGTTTCGAAGCAGTGAGTCTAATACTGAAGAAGACAGCAGTCGTGGCTGTGTTCCAGCCCTGAGAGGACGTGATGCACTCCGCTCGTCTTGTAGAGTATTCTGAGAACAGATACTGTGCTTGCTCGGTCGACTCCCAAGCCAAGACCCAGCAGGAAGAACCAGTTGTTGTTTAAGATTCGCTACTTGGAACAAGTTCCAAATAGCACGGGCTATGGTGAGCCCGTGGATGTGGAAGAACCAGTCCTGGGGACTGAGGAACTATGCGTAACTATCATTTACTCATACTTGGTAACTATCCAATTTCAGTGAGCCGAGGCAGTCGTGATATAGTGGCCTTAAATCTGTTTATTGATATCAAACAACCTATGCTCCTAATACATCGCTTTTTTAACAGAGTCGAACCATAGATCAAAATTACGAGGTTTTAACAAAACTTAGAGCGCTGTAAATTTTTTTTATGTTTGCTGACACTCGTCCTCCACAGTTTAAGCGGGTTGTTCGTGTTGGCACGTTTCTGGGAAGGCAACAACAGTTTCATTTTTTTACGGAGTGTCAGATCTGAGAACTAACAGGAGTACTTATATGTACATAATCCATATGACCATTATAGGGTCCTTCCCCTTGGTGTATACCCAATATGGCGTCCCTGCCTTAGGGGTATACCCAATATACCCATTATTGTGGGGTATATTGGGTAATACACCGCCTCCTGTATCAGTATGGAGGGAGATCAGCCCCCCCTATCCCTCCATTTGATCTATTCCCTTTATGGTGGTAGTCCACAACCCCCCCCCCCCCCCCACGAACCCAATAGGTATATATCTTTTATGGGAGCAGTACCTGCTGAGTTATAGCCCCATTCCTGTGGCAAGTAAGGCCACTCCGGGATCACCATAGCCTGTGCTACTTGCAACAAAAACAGCAGTACGTGCTCATACTCGAGTGAAGAGGGGGAAGGTTAGGAGCAGAGAGTACACACCTCAGCACTCTAGATAGGCTGAGTGTACTCTCAACACTCCCCTCTCTGGCATGCGTTACTCTGAGGGGTTCATCCATCCCTCCCTCCCCTGGTGCATTGAAACGCATTGTCACGCTGACCTACGCATAGGTCGCTACACGCCTCCGCTTCTCGAAGCTCACTGTTAGGCTAGTTGGCTCACTGTTAGGCTAGTTGGCTCACTGTTAGGCTAGTTGGCTCACTGTTAGGCTAGTTGGCTCACTGTTAGGCTAGTTGGCTCACTGTTAGGCTAGTTGGCTCACTGTTAGGCTAGTTGGCTCACTGTTAGGCTAGTTGGCTCACTGTTAGGCTAGTTGGCTCACTGTTAGGCTAGTTGGCTCACTGTTAGGCTAGTTGGCTCACTGTTAGGCTAGTTAGCTCACTGCTAGGCTAGTTAGCTCGCTGTTAATATAGTTAGCTCACTGTTAGGTTAGTTAGCTCACTGCTAGGCTAGTTAGCTCGCTGTTAATTTAGTTAGCTCACTGTTAGACTAGCTAGCTCACTGTGTTAGTTTGGTAAACATTGAGGTCTTTCCTCCTGATTTTCTCCTCCTTGGCTCTAGGAATGACCGTAAGTGTTCCTCTCCCACGGGGGGCTAATGGGTCTAACATGGTGCTTGGGGTCTAATCACCTCCCATAGATTGCTGGCCGCTTAGACCATCAAGCGTCTGGTAGCCGCTGTAAATTGTCGTTGGAAATTTTAATTACGATTGTTGAGAGTATGAATTGGCACCAATATTTTGATTAGCATGACTATTTTTTTTTTCCTTCCTCGTCTACAAGCCCAAGTGATTGGGCTGGACGGTAGAGCGACGGGATCGCTTCATGCAGGTCGGCGTTCAATTCCTCGATCGTTCACAAGTGGTTGGGCACCATTCCTTTCCCCCAGTGTTATCTCAAATCCTTATCCTGACCCCTTGCAAGTGCTATATGGAAGATTTAATTGCTATATAGACAATTTCCTGCCTCTGTCTACTGTCCTAAATGATTTCGGGGCTTTAGTGTCCCCGCGGCCCGGTCCTCGACCAGGCCTCCACCCCCAGGAAGCGGCCCGTGACAGCTACCACCCAGGTACCTATTTTACTGCTAGGTAACAGGGGCATAGGGTGAAAGAAACTCTGCCCATTGTTTCTCGCCGGCGCCTGGGATCGAACCCAGGACCACAGGATCACGAGTCCAGCGTGCTGTCCGCTCGGCCGACCGGCTCCCTGTTTCTCCATTCCGGGTAAAGTGCACAACCTGTTTCGTCGTGGACACGAGTGTCTTGTAATGGAAGCCATTTCTTCTCGTTATAACGCGTCGTATTTTGTATATATTTACCTAAGAAGAACTGTTATGTACAAGAAAATGGGAGAACCATTGACATAATGTCCCGTTTTCTGTTAGTTGGTCCTCTGGTTGGTTTGGTTGGGGCGCACTAGTAGTAGTACTGTTTCTAGACGTTGGACTAGCGAGAACCGGCTGTCAATTACACCTGCGATATATTGTATACATACTATGTATACAATAGACAGTATGTATTGTATACATACTGTCTTTAATTTATGGTAGTTATTTATTGAGGATAAACATTGGAAAAACATTACTGGAGAACTTGAGAGCGTTCTCGACCTTTAATGGTATTTCCTTTCCCATTGAGTGTCGCTTCTTATCCCTGCTTTACCTCTTACATTTCCTCTAAGTTCACTTTATCTGCTGCTTCTGGCCGCGCTTGGCATTGTCCTAATGAGTCCTTACCTGGCCTTAATGACTCGCCTTGCCCTATCGTTGTCATGAATCAGGTGGAGAGTGTAATACCTGGCGCGCTCTCTCTGACGCTCTGTGGCTCTCTCTCTGGCTCTCTCTCTGGCTCTCTCTCTGGCTCTCTCTGGCTCTCTCTGGCTCTCTCTGACGCTCTCTCTGACGCTCTCTCTGGCTCTCAATCTGACGCTCTCTCTCCCTCACAGGTGTCGTGGATCAGACGGAGGGACTACCACCTACTCACCGTCGGCTCGCAGGCCTACAGCAGCGACGACAGGTTCCAGGTTCGCTACATCAAACACGAGAATGTGAGTACAATCTGTCTCTAATGATACGTTTGTCCTAGACCCCTGCAGGGTGCTGGTGCATGAGCCGCCTCCCAGTATGCTGGCAGACTCGTTCCTCTGTGTTCTGTTGATACTGTTTTTAGTCGAATGTTTAAATGTGGATTTTCGGCTTGTCTCACTTGACGCCTTGGCCCTAGCTGGGTCCAGTTTGGCCCTAGCTGGCTCCAGTTTGGCCCCTAGCTGGCTCCAGTTTGGCCCCTACCTGGCTTGAACTTGGCCCCTACGTGGCTCCAACTTGGCCCCTACGTGGCTCCAACTTGGCCCCTACGTGGCTCCAACTTGGCCCCTACCTGGCTCCAACTTGGCCCCTACGTGGCTCCAACTTGGCCCCTACCTGGCTCCAACTTGGCCCCTACCTGGCTCCAACTTGGCCCCTACCTGGCTCCAACTTGGCTCCAACTTGGCCCCTACCTGGCCCCTACCTGGCTCCAACTTGGCCCCTACCTGGCTCCAACTTGGCCCCTACCTGGCTCCAACTTGGCCCCTACCTGGCACCAACTTGGCCCCTACCTGGCTCCAACTTGGCCCCTACCTGGCTCCAACTTGGCCCCTACCTGGCTCCAACTTGGCCCCTACCTGGCTCCAACTTGGCCCCTACCTGGCTCCAACTTGGCCCCTACCTGGCTCCAACTTGGCCCCTACCTGGCTCCAACTTGGCCCCTACCTGGCTCCAACTTGGCCCCTACCTGGCTCCAACTTGGCCCCTACCTGGCTCCAACTTGGCCCCTACCTGGCTCCAACTTGGCCCCTACCTGGCTCCGTCAAACTGACCCTCTAAGATTGGGTGAGTTGTCTCTATCTCACCATCAAAAAGAACCGTCGTCAATTACCATTCACCAAAAGGGGTGACCTGCTAGATGTGACCATCATGACCTGATTGATACGATGATTGACCAGAGGGTCATCTTACCGAGATTGATGTGAATTAGACGGGTCGTTCCCGTACGTATTCAGGTGAGGGCTGAGACATCTCTCTCTCTCTCTCTCTCTCTCTTGCTGTTCTATCTTTAGCCTCGTCGAATCGTTTTAGTCCACGAAATTACCTACATGTCCCCCTGCCATCCTACGTCCCCCCGCCATCCTACGTCCCCCCCTTATTACTCGCGGTTTCCCTTGTGTCTCGTTTATCTCAGTTACTGGGGAAGCGATTGGTTGAAGGATGGAAATGTGGATCTAAGCTTCTACACTGGCGTCGCTACCGTTCCCCTCCCCCCCTCACTGGGGGGGGGGGAACGGTAATGAGTGTAGGGAAGGGGGAACAGAGATGAATGCGAAGACACAGGGAGTGAACTAATGGAAAAAATGGCATTTCCTTCCACCTTTTCTCTTGGTAATACGAGCATAATTGTCCATCCACTTTGCCAAGACACTTTTCCTTTTCCTGATAATATTCTCTCTCTGATTCCCCCCCCCTCCCCTCACACACCCTTCCATATCTCCCCCCCCCCCTCGCCCCCCTGCAAGATTACATACACTTTATTTTACATTCATGTTGCGATTGCATTTAACCCCCTTTTAATGCAGCGTCAGAATTACTTAGATGGCGAGTGCTTTCTCTCATGGCTCCTGCATATGCAGTTCCGGTTTGTTTAATGCAATGAGTTCCGATCTCATCTGCTTTTGAAATTATAAATGTTTATTTTCCACGATCTGTGTGTGTGTGTAATTGCCTAAGTGTAGTTGCCTAAGTGTAGTTACAGGATGAGAGCTACGGTCGTGGTGTCCCGTCTTCCCAGTACTCTTTGTCGTGTAGGTGGGTTTTCACCTATTTGTAATCACTTATTTGTACCTGCAGACACATTAATTTTCTAGCACATTTGAGTGCAATATTTTTAACATGTGAGCAGATCTGTCATCAGTTTCCACTCACAATATAGCAGTTGATGAGTTGTATATATTAAGTTTAATTTTATGACAGGATGATATTGATATATAGATATTCATCAGTGGGGTTTTTTATCTGGGGGCAACGATAACCTGTCACCCTCAGCCCCCACTTAAGATATTCACACCCCCTAAGATCTCATTCAGTGGTTACATTGGTGAGAGTTACATCTTTTCGATTGTCTCCTAAAAGAGTCTGTGTATCATACTCTGCTGGAGACCCCAGCCTCCAGAGATAACTTCAGGACATTGAAGTTCCACCTGATTTTGAATTACACTTAAAAATATTTGGATTTTAATATATTTTCCTATTAAAAATATTTGGATTTTAATATATTTTCCTATTAAAAATATTTGGATTTTAATATATTTTCCTAACACTAACGTTACTCGTGCAAACATTTACGAACGGAGGACCACAGAATATTATTGTATATACCAATTCTGACTAAATTCTTCCATGAGCTAATGTAATTATCTCTATTACAAATTTAATATATTTGTATAATCTAATATTCTTGTGTAATGTAATATTCTTGATAATTTTACGAGCTACGTCTCTACATGTTAATGTTAATATCTCCCAGAAGCGCTCTGCCTGTACATACTCGCCTATTTGTAGCTGCAGGATCGAGTTTTAGCTCTTGGACCCCCGCTTATCTAGGGAGCTGGTTGTCTAATAGAGTAATTCCTGTCCTATTTTTCTATCATTTCAAATTATGAATAGAGTTCGCCTCTACAATGTGCTCATTTAGTCCATTCTATTTTTTTTCCACTACCCATACACTACGAGAAAACTTTCTCGCATCTGTGTCTCATTTATTTCTCAAGTTGCCTTCCAGGGCCTTTAGTTCTACTGGTATTCATTTTAAACGTCTCTTCTTAGTTACTTTCAATTGCCCTAAACATTCTATAAGTCCTATATATAGCCTTTTCTTTTCTCTAGTGACGTCAAGTCTATTTCTTTTTTCTTACCAGGTCTTTGGAATTCCTGGACGAGCCTTGTTGCAAACCTCTGAAACCTCTTATTTAGTTTTCTTGTTTAATATTTTTTTTTAATGAGCTGCACGATGGGGGCAGCATATTCTGAGACAGGTCTTACGTAGGTGGGGGACTGCGACCTAAATAAAGCTTGCTTATGCAGACGAGGAGTCACAATAACGTGACTGAAATACGTTGACCAAACCACACACTAGAAAGTGAAGGGACGACGACGTTTCGGCCCATCCTGGACCATTCTCAAGTCAGTCAGTAAAACCTGGACCAGGAAAATGGTCCAGGACGGACCGAAACGTCGTCGTCCCTTCACTTTCTAGTGTGGTCTGGTCAACAAGGGTTGCTTATTTCGGTTCCTAAATGATGCTTTGAATCGTTTCATTGTAATGTTGCTGATGCTATTCTATTTATGTGCGCTTCTGAAGTTAGAACACGAGATTAAAAGTAACAGCAGAAGGCCTATTGGCTCATAGGCCTCGTTTAATATTCACTCACTGATCGTTTTCTCCAGTTTCCCCCTTCATTCAGGTCTCCTGTTTCTGCTTCCCATTTCCATCACCTTACACTGGTTTGTATTGAACTCTATTACCCATTTCTCCAATCAATTCTACAGCTTGTCTAAGTTATCTTGGAGTGTCTTAGAATATTTACCTGGCTCTACTCTTTATTAATTTTGAATCATTCGCAAACAATCTCCTATGCTTAGGTCATTAACATAAGAAATAGAATAGGTCCCAGCATCGATCCCTGAGGTACTCTGTTATTCTATGAGACAGACAGACTTCGTGCCCGTAAGTGTGACTCTCTGACTCCAGTCAGTTGGGTATTCTCTTAGATGCTATTTCACTTACTGTTTGCATGTTTTTGCGTGTATGTGGTCTTGTGTTTTGTGTGTGAAAGGTAAAGTTGTTTCTGGGTTTGGGTTGATTTCAGAGCATGTTGGGTTTCTGGGTTAGGATTGGCCACGGTGTTGGTTAAGGGGACCTCCATGGCACCATGTAAAAAAATTGTACTTATTCACAATTTCATAAACAATGTACTGTATTATTTTTATATGGAAAACCATTATTGTTAGCGACGATAGTTAACACGCTGGGTATTAAATTTTATATTTTATTTGGGGAATTTATCCTGTTGAATTTTTATTTTTTAATTTTGTTATAAAGTGTTCATAACTGCACAGTAATTGGAAATGGCACAGTAATTCAGATTTTAAACTTTAGATAGGAAAAATATTTATTGTAGTGCCGACGGAGTGGATTACTTGACTCTCAAGACAATTAAGAGTTTGCGGGAATTCAGACTTCCTTGAATTGCAGTTGAATTCCACAGCGCAGCGGTCTTTAATCCCTTAAGAATACGAATGGACTTTAATCCACTAAGAATACGAACGGTTTTTAATTCCAGAGAATTCGAACATTTTAATCCCTTAGCATTCGAACGTGTTTTTTTTAATACTTAAGAATATGAAGGTTTTTAATCCCTAATAATACGAACGGTCTTTAATCCTCTCAGAATACGAACATTCTTTAATCCCTTAAAAATATAAGAATGTATCTCGCATTCTCTAGTGGTCTCTCATGAGGTAACAATGAGGTTCATGAGGTTCTCTACCACCTTTATATTTCGTACGGGAGCCTCATGGTTTCTGACCAGATTCACGAAGCAGTTACGCAAGCACTTACGAACCTGTACATCATTTCTCAATCTTTGGCGGTTGTGTTTACAATTATTAAACAGTTAATGAACTCCGAAGCACCAGAAGGCTGTTTATAACAACAGCAGCAGCTGATTGGCAAGTTTTCATGCTTGTAAACTGTTTAATAAATGTAACCAAAGCCGTCAAGGATAGAGAAATGTACAGGTTCGTAAGTGCTTGCGTAACTGTTTCGTGAATCTGGGCCCATGGTCTCTGGTCTCTAATGGTCTCTGGTCTTCCCCTACAGGACTGGCAGCTTCACATACGGTACGTGCAGGTACGAGATGATGGGGTGTACGAATGTCAGGTCTCCTCTCACCCCCCAGTCAGTCTCTTCTCTACCCTACACGTGCTGGGTAAGTAAACACACGTACCTTACACGTCTTTGGGTAAATGGGTAAGTGTTTTAACGTACCCAGCAGCACGTCCTGGGGTAAATGTGTGTTTTAACGTACCCAGCAGCACGTCCTGGGGTAAATGAGTGTTTTAACGTACCCAGCAGCACGTTTTGAGGTAAGGGGTCCTCCCCCAATGTGCACTTCCTTGCCTACACATCGTTGATTTAATTGTTTTGGGGTTTTGCTTACCCTATATAAGGGACAAGGAGCTGTGTATATGTATACAGATAGTGTGTATATAGCGGTCCTTATCCAGAGGTGCCCGGTGGATGGGGAGTCCTAATCCAGAGGTGCCCGGTGAATGGGGCGTCCTAATCCAGAGGTGCCCGGACAATGGGGCGTCCTAATCCAGAGGTGCCCGGTGAATGGGGCGTCCTAATCCAGAGGTGCCCGGTGAATGGGGCGTCCTAATCCAGAGGTGCCCGGACAATGGGACATCCTAATCCAGAGGTGCCCAGCCGTTGTGTCCGATATAGGTACATCCTTATTTATCCTAGTCTAGTGAATCCCGCTAATCCTCCCGCTCGAGTGCCAGCCACATGGATGCCTTGAGGAGGATATGTTGATTGTGCTCAAACTGTCGAAGCTTCAACACGTGGATATATGGATATATGTTTTTATCCAAGGGGAATTAAATCCATTCCTTATCCCACAAAGAAAGCCTCCACCACTTCTTATGGCGCTACCACCATCACAATCCCCAGTACTACCACCATCACAATCCCCAGTACTACCACCATCACAATCACCAGTACTACCACCATCACAATCACCAGTACTACCACCATCACAATCCCCAGTACTACCACCATCACAATCCCCAGTACTACCACCATCACAATCCCCAGTACTACCACCACCACAATCCCCAGTACTACCACCATCACAATCACCAGTACTACCACCATCACAATCACCAGTACTACCACCACCAAAACGCCATTTATTCAAATAAAACATACTAATAGGACTGTTTTTAAATGGAATGGTTAGACATTCCCCCTACCACAACCCATGTTTAGACACTGCCCCCCCCCTCTAACCACCTCTCTAACCAGCATATCCTCCTCCACCTCATCCCTAACCACCACTGCAATTACTACTACCACTACCACCCTCCCCTACCGCGCTTGTTAGCAGTGATTGCGAGAAATCTCTTGAGCTCTGTGGGGGACGCTGGCAGACCGCCCTAGCTCCATATACACATCATTTGCCTTGGTTAGTAGGAATCGTCTGAGTTACGGCAGACATTAATATGTCTGCCGTAACTCAGACAAGCTGCATCTCTTTACTTCCCAATTCCCCAGGCACACAGGCTGTCCTCCACGCTGCTGGTAACTCATAGGCTGTCCTCCACGCTACTAGTAACTCACAGGCTGTCCTCCACGCTACTAGTAACTCACAGGCTGTCCTCCACGCTACTAGTAACTCACAGGCTGTCCTCCACGCTACTAGTAACTCACAGGCTGTCCTCCACGCTACTAGTAACTCACAGGCTGTCCTCCACGCTACTAGTAACTCACAGGCTGTCCTCCACGCTACTAGTAACTCACAGGCTGTCCTCCACGCTACTAGTAACTCACAGGCTGTCCTCCACGCTACTAGTAACTCACAGGCTGTCCTCCACGCTACTAGTAACTCACAGGCTGTCCTCCACGCTACTAGTAACTCACAGGCTGTCCTCCACGCTACTAGTAACTCACAGGCTGTCCTCCACGCTACTAGTAACTCACAGGCTGTCCTCCACACTACTAGTAACTCATAGGCTGTCCTCCACGCTACTAGTAACTCACAGGCTGTCCTCCACGCTACTAGTAACTCACAGGCTGTCCTCCACGCTGCTAGTAACTCATAGGCTGTCCTCCACGCTGCTAGTAACTCACAGGCTGTCCTCCACGCTACTAGTAACTCACAGGCTGTCCTCCACGCTACTAGTAACTCACAGGAAGCAGCCTGATCTGTGGTCATGGCTTGAGGGCCCATCGTCGCATCAATGAAAGAAATTCAGGCATTAGGATCCCTTCTCAACCGTGTAGCGATGATCCAAGACTACCTCGCTGGTTATGTAATCGTTAACTACCCCTGTAAGCTACTATTGCCATGTTGTCAACACATCTATTGGCAATAGATCCATGCCCCCCCCCCCCACTCCCGTGTGTGTGTGTGTGTCTGTGTGTCTTTATCCATTCATTCAAAACGAAGGGGAAGGGGGGAGCTGAATCTGGTTTTGAAGATAGTGATGACTTACGTGTTGATGATTGTTAACAGAGGCGACGTCAGAGATCTTGGGTGGCCCAGAGAAGTACATGACTGTTGGCAGCTCCTTGAGGCTTGTGTGTGTCTTGAGAGACAACACCCAACCACCCTCCTACGTCTTCTGGTACCACGACCAGCACATGATCAACTACCACGCTACCAGGGAGGTAGGTACCACCAGTACATGGTCAGCTACCACGCTACCAGGGAGGTAGGTACCACCACTACCAGCACATGGTCAGCTACCACGCTACCAGGGAGGTAGGTACCACCAGTACCACCAGCACATGGTCAACTACCACGCTACCAGGGAGGTAGGTACCACTACCACGACCAGCACATGGTCAACTACCACGCTACCAGAGAGGTAGGTACCACCACCACCACGACCAGTACATGGTCAACTACCACGCTACCAGGGAGGTAGGTACCACGACCACCAGCACCAGCACATGGTCAGCTACCACGCTACCAGGGAGGTAGGTACCACGACCAGTACATGGTCTGCTACCACCACCACCACGACGAGTACATGGTCAGCTACCACGCTACCAGAGAGGTAGGTACCACCACCACCACCTGATGAACTACCACACTACCAGGGAGGTAGGTACCACGACCTGATGAACTACCACACTACCAAACAAGAAAGGCAGTTGAATCCAATTCAGACGAATAATTATCACGTTCTTCACATCTAGTTAAGAGAGTGTGTATTCCACTTGTCTCTTTCCCACACCCGTCCCCCCACACCCGTCCCCCCACACCCGTCCCCCCACACCCGTCCCCCCACACCCGTCCCACCACACCCGTCCCCCACACCCGTCCCCCACACCCTCCCACTTCGCAATACATCATAAATCCTGGTAACGAGATTCAACAACATACTATTTTACCCTGAATCTTCTCCATTCATTTCAGATTCATTGATCTAACCCTTTCCGGTCATATTTAATCACAATAATAACAATAGCTTACAAAGTTTGATAGTCTTTAGACATCTCTTATGATCAATACTGAAAATTTATTGAAAATTGTTTGGAGATTTACGAGAATGTGTTTATATATTATATATAAACGAGATAAAAAGCGTTTGATTGAGCCAAATGTGTGAATGGTTGGTTGGTGGGTGAGGGAGGGGAACCCTACCTTCTGCTACTGTTATTTTTCTCTTGTTGAAAAGGAGAAAAATCCCACCCTCTCTCTTTTTATGTGAATTTTAATGACCACAGTGAAACCACAGGGTTCACTGCTTCATACAATCCTCTTCTGCCTCCTATTTTTTTGTAACATTTATTGGGGGTTTAAAGTGCTTGGTTTCAACCCCCATGGGGAGTTCAAGGTTCATATTATATCATCAATATAAGTGTTGACCAGACCACACACTAGAAGGTGAAGGGACGACGACGACGACGTTTCGGTCCGTCCTGGACTATTCTCAAGTCGATTGTGAGAATCGACTTGAGAATGGTCCAGGACGGACCGAAACGTCGTCGTCCCTTCACCTTCTAGTGTGTGGTCTGGTCAACATACTTTAGCCACGTTGACTCATCGCCTGCATCATCAATATAACGCAGACATCGGTACAAGCACGACATCAATCCAACGCACTAACTACCATCCTCAATATCCCCCCTGGAAGTTCATGCCAACTGCCTCTCTTTCCAGCCACTGGACGGGAACAAGCCGATTAACTGCCTAACATGGTGATTGATTATTGCCCTCTGACTTAGTCACCTGAGCTGCCTTGGAAGCAGTGACCCCTCCTGCTGCTGCTGCTGCTGCTGCTGCTCCTGCTGCTGTAGTGGAGGGGGCCAGATTCACGAAGCAGTTACGCAAACACTTATGAACCTGTGCATCTTTTCTCAATCTTTGGCGGCTTTGTTTACAATTATTAAACGGTTAATGAGCTCCGAAGCACCAGGAGGCTGTTGATAACAATAACAACAGTTGATTGACAAGTTTTCATGCTTGTAAATTGTTTAATAAATGTAACCAAAGGCATCAAAGATTGAGGAAAGATGTACACGTTCGTAAGTACTTGTAGTACTTACGAACGTACTTGTAGTACTTGCGAACGTACTTGTAGTACTTGCGAACGTACTTGTAGTACTTGTAAGTAGCTGCTTCGTGAATCTGGCTCCAGGTCTCCCTTGACTGGTTCCCGCTCTCAGAGCTCCTCATTTGGCCTCCGATGGAAGAAATGATTAATTATTCTTTTTTTCTGTTTTAATTGCGAGTGTTTTATTTACTGCTGAACGTCGTAGTCAAATTGTGCATATTTGTTATTGTGGGGGTTTTGTTTGTCGTCTGTTTGTTCAGTTTGTTTTTGTTTGTTGGATGTTTTTTTGACAGGTTATGTCTTTTTTCAAATTGGCTTTGTCAACTTTATCATCTAGTCCGCCTTTCTCCACATATTTACAACTCTTACATTGTTCTTGCTGACATCTGTGACTCATCTGTCTCCAGTTTCCAATTACGTCGTCTCGTGCAACTGTTCCTTAATTGCTTCTAAATCTACATCGTCAGTTCCCTTAGTATCTTGTAGGTCGTTATCATGTCTACCTTAATCCTCGTTTCCTCCGGTGCAGTGGGGTCCAGGTCTCTTCAGTCTGTCTTCGTAGTTCAACCCCCTTAGTTCAGGAACGAGTCTTGTTGCATATAATTGGACCTTTTCTTTTGTCGTGTTCTTCTTTAGGTAAAGGGCTTCATGCGGAACAACCTACTCAATAACTGGTCTCACAATGGATGCAAACAGCGTTCCTCTTACTATATCTGTTTGCCCTCTTCCTGGAAAATATTTCTTCACCCACTTGAAAACTCCAGCCTGACCTAATTCCACGTATTTGTAGGAGTTACATGGTAGAGATTACATGAATAACTCGACCTATTTTCAATTGTACCTTAGGCGACACGACCTGACTTTTCTTAGCTGTTCTTAGAAGCGTCTTGGATCTGACTCGACTTGTATTCTTCCCGCAGGTGCGGGTTGAGAACAATGGGGGACTGAGCGTTCTGTTCTTGAGCAACGTGCGACCAGCGGACTCCGGTAACTACTCCTGCGCCCCCTCCAACGCCAGACCTGCTCACATCTATATACACGTCCTCAAAGGTAAGCCACGAGTGACGGGTGCTGACGTGTAGGCTTGATAGTAGAGTTGATAATGGGGCCCAGGACGGACCGAAACGTCATCGTCCTCGTCGTCCCTTCATCGTCTAGTGTGTGGTTTGATTATCATATCTAAAGCCACGTTATTGTGATTCATCGTCTGCACTGTTCACTGGATCTATAGTGCACTTGTAGACGAGGAGTCACAGTAACGTGGCTGAAATATGTTGATCAAACTATACACTAGGAAGTGAAGGGACGATGATGTTTCGGTCCGTCCTCACAATCGACTTGAAAATGGTCCAGGACGGACCGAAACGTCGTCGTTCCTTCACTGTCTAATGTGTGATTTGGTCAACTTAGAGGCCGTGTGTCTCATAAGTCCCAAATGATGTTATATCATATTATATCTTGTCTATATTGAATGTGCAATTTAATAATTTATTACCATTTTTGTGTTGTGTATAATGGATGCATATATTAATTTATGTAACAATGGATTAATCTTTCCTCTCAACACACACTGATTTTACCCGCTTTGATTTTAATACTCTAAGCCTACTCTCTCAAACTTGCTTGCTTTACTTTCCTCTTTACGGTAGGCCTCGTGTAGGCCTGTGTGTACGTTTCTGCATGTACTAAATATATATTTTAGTCTTACAACTGTTGATAAAATGTTTTTCCTCATGTCTTGATTGGATGGAACCGGATATATTTGTTCCAACTTGGCTCTCAAAGGAATGGTTTTAAACGGATACTTTTGCAATCAATCGGTAACTATCTCTCTCTCTTGCTTTCTCTTTCTCTCTCCTCTCTCCCCTTATTCCTTTCCCATTTTCTTTGCTCCTCTCACCCACTGTTTGACCCAAGCATCTCTCCCACATTCACCTGACACCCCCCCCCCTCCTCCCTCCCCCTTACCCATGTCTGCAACTAGTCAATTACGAATAAATCAGACATAATAGTAATCCTTTAAATGCTCGGTTTCTATTGCCATTTAAGCAAGAGAAACATTTTTTAATTCTGGGAAAATTTCCTGTTTTCATCGATGTGTTTCCACTTTTTTTGTTTTTCTTAACGCGTGGAAATTTCCTCACCTGGCACCTGACGAAGTTCCCAGACCTTGTTGTTCTTGTGGGGTTGAACTCTGCTCTTTCGGCCCGCCTCTCAACTCTCAATCAATCAACTGTTACTATTTTTTGTTCTCTCACACACACACACACACACACACACACACACACACACACACACACACACAGGAAGCAGCTCCGTAACGGCTGTCTTACTCCCAGGTACCTATTTACTGTTAGGTAACAGGGGGGGGGGGGCATTAGGGTGAAAGAAATTTTGCCCATTTTTTAATGCCTGGTCCGGGAATCGAACCCGGGCCACAAGATTACGAGTTTTGCGCGCTGTCCACTCAGCTATCAGACCCCCAATCAAAGAACCAAGTGGGCTCATGCTGTGGGCTCTCTCGTGGGCTCTCGCTCTCTCGCTCTCTCGCTCTCTTTCTCGCTTGCTCTCTCTGGCTTGCTCTTTCTCTTTGGCTTGCTCTCTCTCTCGGTCTCTCCCTCACTCTCTGGCGCTCTAGCTCTTGGCGGTGAGTTTGATGTGTGATGGATTTGCTTGCATAATAAATTTACGGATATAAGCGCTAAATTATGCTAAAACTTTTTAGCGCTATTTAAAAATCATTTTTGGGTTTGTTGACGCACAAGGTCTCTCCAGGCGAGGGATGAAGCTCCCAGAGACCGAGTAGACAAAGACCGCTCGGACACCGAGCACGTTCGAATCCACAGCCTGACTTCTCGAGCGTTCACAACGCCAGTAAATTGATGTACTAAAATTGCCCGAATCTAACCTAACCCACGGATAGAAAACGGGACAAAACGTTAATTTTTTGTGAGTTGCTGTGATTTTTTTTTTTGTTAGATCAGTTTAGGAGAGTTATACGTCAAAATGCGATGAGAACGGGTTGTTTACGTCTTCTTTTTAGAGAGGACGTATTTTTGAGCACCAACTAACCTATTCAGTTCAATGCATAGGTAACGTCGGTATCCGTTGTCACCACCGGTGACATATACAGCCGCAGACGGCACAAGGCTGACAGTAACACACATTTAAGTTCATAGTATTCCAGGGGCAGAACTAGTGTTTACCTCTGATATATATATACATTCGTCAGATCACTATACCTGGGGATTGAACGTATATTAAAATATAAGAATTGGGGACATGGCAAAAGGCCTTAAGGCACTGAATTGCAACACATGGTGATTTAGCTATTGTGATTTAGTGATTTAGCACTTAGAGAGGTCAGGAAGGTTATAAGCTTTGTGAGGCAGCCTCGCCAATCCTCGCCTTGCTGGGGTACCTCTCTGGTGGCCGGTAGTGCCTCTACACGCTCTCATCTTGTATTGTGGGAGTTACAGCCTGAAATTAAGGTTCGTGTATTACAGCACGAGGTGGATGTTCGGCAGTATATGAGGGGACGAGGGTGGATAGTGGATGTGTGTGTGGGGGTGTGTGGACGTGTTTGAGTGTGTTGTTGTTTTAGATTTAGTTACTCAGAATTAAATGTCCATGTAGCACGGGCTATGGTGAGCCCGTAAATTGAGTGTAAGGTGGGAAATGATTAAGTACATACCACCTTAGGGAACCCTGACTACCTGGAAGGCGTAGCAGATATACACACTGACGCTATCTTAATTAAGCGGATATTGTCCTCCAAGACTACCGTAACCATCGTTTGATAACCAAACCATCTTACAAGTGGGGGCAGAGCAAAGAGGTGGTGGTGGGGGGGTGGGGGGGGGGTAGGAGCCCGGGGCCAGATTCACGAAGCAGTTACGCAAGTACTTACGAACGTGTACATTTTTCCTCAATCTTTGACGCCTTTGGTTACATTTTTTAAACAGTTTACAAGCACGAAAACCTCCCAATCAACTGTCGTTTTTTGTCATGAACAGCCTCCTGGTGCTTCGGAGCTCATTAACTGTTTAATAACTTTTAAACAAAGCCACCAAAGATTGAGAAAAGATGTACAGGTTCGTAAGTGCTTGCGTAACTGCTTCGTGAATCTGGCCCCCCTACCTCGTTGTGTTGTGTGACAAAGACCTAGACACCCTAAGGGAGCCGGTCGGCCGAGCGGACAGCACGCTGGACTTGTGATCCTGGGTTCGATCCCAGGCGCCGGCGAGAAACAATGGGCAGAGTTTCTTTCACCCTGTGCCCCTGTTACCTAGCAGTAAAATAGGTACCTGGGTGTTAGTCAGCTGTCACGGGCTGCTTCCTGGGGGTGGAGGCCTGGTCGAGGACCGGGCCGCGGGGACACTAAACAGCCCCGAAATCATCTCAATATAACCTCAAGATAACCCTAGTCCCCCCCTAGTCAGTGTACCGTATTCATAGTTTAATACAAATTAAACATACCGAAACGCTGATGTCACACACATAAGACAAATACATTCGTCTCGAATTTAAGGCTTATCTTAGACTGGTTTACCCAGGCGAAGGTTAGATAACTCTAGTTTGTTTGGTCTGTTTGGTTTAGGTATGACCAGGTTAGACAGTGTGGTTTGGTTACGTATTATTGGTTAGACCTAATGTTAGTGTAGTTTGGTTAGGCCTTTGTTATGATGATTTTAGTTAGGTGTGTGTTAAATGTTTTTGCCTTGTCTGATGGATTAGATAAATCTGGATTACATGGTTTGTTTAGGCTTCTATTTACCTCCCTACGTTAATAATATACAAATTCCAAATCACAATGATGTGTGTGTCTCAGTCTGGAGACATTTCAATATGTCAAGAAACATCTGGCTCTACCCTTATGTGCAGGCGATGAGTCACAATAACGTGGCTGAAGTATGTTGACCAAACGACACACTAGAAGGTGAAGGGACGACGACGTTTCGGCCCGTCCTAGACCATTCTCAAGTCGATTGAGAATGGTCCAGGACGGACCGAAACGTCGTCGACCCTTCATTTTCTAGTGTGTGGATTGGTCAACAAGTTGACATGTATTCGACTCTTAATATTTACCACCAGGAGGAGAGACTCCGGCAGCCATCCATTCCGCGTCAGGGGAAGAGAATGCACCTTTCCCGCTCCTCCTCGCTCTTCTGCTGTGTCTGGGTGCCACCTACTTCACCTCAGCCACCTTCACCACCTCAGCCACCTACACCAAGGTGAGAGGCAGCCACAGGCAAGACGATGAGTCACAATAACGTGGCTGAAGTACGTTGACCAGACCACACACTAGAAGGTGAAGAATGGTCCAGGACGGACCGAAATGTCGTCGTCCCTTCACTTTCTAGTGTGCGGTCTGGTCAACACTCAGCCACAGGTAAATTGAGTTGCTGTATAAAATTCCATAGCATCGTATTAAGGAGGAATTCTAGGGTATCCTACACGAGTACCTATAATTTGGTTTACAATTGTGTGATAGTCATTCACATATATTTTATTTTCGTCCAAAATACCTCCCCCCGAGCATGTAAACTTATTTTGATATGAACTTTAGACACCTCTTCATAATCCTGGTCTATGTATAGGTGTTTTAATATAGAGTTCTATACTGCGTTATATTTGTGTTTACATCCTCCCTCTGCGCCCTCACTTGCAGAATGGGGTTTAGTCATGCTCCACTTCCTTCCAATGCTCCTAGACACACTATTGCTGGAATCCAAGGAAGCGAAAAAGAATCTTGAGAAAGTCAGGCGGGAGAAGCAGAGATGGAAAATTGGTTCAGTGGAGCAGAAAGTGTATATTGTTGAGAGGTTAAGTTACGTTCATGTAAATTGCTCGAGAGTAACTACTAAATTTCTGGAGTGTAACTATTAATTAATAATAATAATAATAATTTTTATTCACAAGAAGGTACAGTGGGTTGATGAGTACATAAGACTGGTATTTGTAAATTCTTACGAAGCCAGTAACACTCAGTGTTTCGAATAGGTCATTCATCTTACCTAACATGTTATACATGTTAAACTTATAAATAACTGGAATATAAATTGATAGAGGTGATTACACTGGTAAAGATATATATATATATATAATGTCCCAAGTATTAATATTAGGGTAGTGGGTAGTACAAGATACAGTGTGAGTTTGTAGCACAATGTTGTTGTTGTTAAAGATTCGCTGCCTGGAACAAAGTTCCAAGTAGCACGGGCTATGGTGAGCCCGGAGTTTGAAGCACAAGATAGGAAACTATGAGGAAGAAATTGGGTTCTTTGTGGATTTGCTTTAGAATAGGGCAATAGGTTGGAATTTTTTTTTATTTCGTCAGGGAGTGAGTTCCAGAGACTGCGTCTTTTTATTTGCATGGAGTGTTTGCACAGATTTAGTTTGACTCTGGAGGATATCAGAGATATTTATTTCAGCTATGGTGTTCATGGGTTCTATTTCACCTATTAAGGAAAACTTTCAGATCAAGATTAGCATTTTGGAACAAAGTTTTGTACGTGTAAATAGCACATGAAAATGTGTGGAGTGAGTGTATGTTTAGCATGTTAAAGGACTTAAACAGAAGGGCTGTGTGTTGTCTGAAGACAAAGTTTGTTATAGTTCTGATAGCAGAGTTTTTGCTGAGTGATGATAGGCTTGAGGTAATTTGCAGTTGTTGAACCCCCTGCACAGATACCGTATGTAATGTTGACCAAACTACTCACTAGAAACTGAAGAGACGACGGAGTTTCGACGTACTGTGTGTAAGACAGGGATAGATTAGCGTATAGTGTGAGAGGAGAGCAGAGTGAGGAACATAATGTCTGATTTTTAGAAAGTATATGGACAGTTTTTTTTTAGATTTTTTGACTGTGTTGTATGTGGGTGCTGAAGTTGTCTCTTGTGTATGTATAGACCAAGGAACTTTCCCCTCATTTTTGTTGCTAATAACATTGTCTAGCTGAAGTTTAATTTGATTTGATGATTTACACCAAATAAAATATGGTAAATCTATGTTTAGTGTGAGTTTGTTGGTTGACATCCATGAGTGGACTTTATTTAATTCATTATTGACCATATTATTTAGTGTATGGGGGGTTAGCGATCAGAATGAAGGTGGTATCGTCAGGCAAACAGTATAGATTTTAAAACATTAAACATTTGGTAAATCAGTGATGTGTATAAAACACAGGAGAGGTCCTAAGATACTGCCCTGTGGCAATTCTCTGAGCATACCTCATCAGGGTCTCGTAAGAAAAACTCAAGTGTACCATATTAGTAGGCATTCATCAGTCTCGGGAGACTATGGAGTTGCGCTCCGGTTGTCGGTCTGGAGTGGCCTCTCCAGGGCGCAAAGCCAGGGTAGGTTGAAACGGAGGAGAAGCTGTTACCCAAGCAGCAGGTCCCCCCCTCTCCACTAGGCGCTACTAACTCACCTTCACATAAACAGTATTTCCACAGCACCAGAACTCTCAATGGAGTCTGAAGTGTTTCGCCAAACTCCCAACACTTGATCTTACATAAATACTGATAGGGAGAAGAAATACAAACAATACTATGCGGAGAAGTACCATCCTTCCTAGCATCCGTAGCTGGCTTGCCAACGCGGTTCTCTATTCTAAAATTCTATGGGGCCTGATGCCCGAGTGGGCAGCGTTCGGGGTTCTTAGTCAAGACTCTAATTTGCTTAGCTAAATGAATTGTGGGGCTCAGTCCCTGAGCCCATTATGTGCCTCTGTAATACTTTCCACTATCGCCCACAGGATGGGTATGGGGTGCATAATAGTGCTAAACTAACTTCCTCCTTCCACCATAATATACGGTGGGAAACGGCTATGGCTAGGTTACATATTGGCCATACATTCTTAGAACACTTAATGGAAAAAGCCGCCTTGCTCCTTATTGCCCAACCTGCAGTGTTCAATTTACAGTTGTACACCTTGTTGAATGTCTCAATTTTCTGCCCAAATGACAGTTTGCCTTTCCTAATGTCCTTCGAGGTAATTTGTTCCTCGCTAGAATATTTGGTGAATTCCATTCCTTGGATATCTCTCGCTTTATGTTCCTTTGTTCTCGTATTGGCATCCTAAGTGATATTTGGCGCCTTTTTCGGTATCCGGCGACACTGGTGGTGGTGCAGTCTCTCCCCCTGCTTGGTGCCTTCTGGGTATAATTGCTTTACTTCGCTTCCTGCTCGGAATTTGAGGAGCTGCAAGATTTTCACAACTTTAGACTATTCAGACTGCGTGTCTGTACACACACACACACACACACACACACACACACACACACACACACACACACACACACACACAGACACTGAAGGAGCAGTTTCAAGTGTAGATATGATAGAGCCCAGTAGGCTCAGGAACCTGTACACCAGTTGATTGACGGTTGAGAGGCGGAACCAAAGAGCCAGAACTCAACCCCCGCAAGCACAATTAGGTGAGTACACACACACACACACACACACACACACACACACACAGGAAGAGCATATCCACACACAGAAAAAATATCTTAATATAACATAAAATTTGTTTTCTCTATATATTTGTTGCACTTTGTATACACAAATGAAATACTTTAACAGTATAATTCACATGCATAAAAATATATGTGGCAAATTGTCAGAAATTGGGAATAGTGTTAAGTTGATCTGACGTCATCATGTGTATAAAGACCTGGACGTATCCACGAGACCTGCCAAATCTGTTCTACTTTAAAATTCAACTGGAAAAAAATATCGGGGGAGCCAAATGAGGGGGGGGGACCTTTGACAAGCCGCTGGTTTCCTGTCCTCGTCGAGGCCTCTAGTGTTAGTGGCTCTCGGGTAAATATACAATTTGAGAAAATTTAATTGTGAATGTTTTTCAAATACACAGAAAACATTGAATAAAGAGCATTTAGGAAGACATTAACGAGCCGTCACTGTGAACGGAGCCAGTCTATCACTTCAGGTCCATCTTGTCCACAGCGTGGCACAGGCGCAGCGGCTGTGCCTGAAGGAGCAGGTGGAGGTGGTCCTCGGGTCCTCTCGGGTCGTCCTCCAGTTCCGCTAGACTCTCCGCCCACACCATGGCGGGAGCCGCGACAACCTTCTTCTTCGCCACCTGTCTGCCAGCGCCAAGGTCTCCATCTTGCTGGATCATTCCTGCTTCAGCCAGGTGGGTGAAACAGCCTCCAGGTGGGTGAAACAGCCTCCAGGTGGGTGAAACAGCCTCCAGGTGGGTGAAACAGCCTCCAGGTGGGTGAAACAGCCTCCAGGCGGGTGAAACAGCCGCCAGGCGGGTGGAACAGCCGCCAGGCGGGTGAAACAGCCGCCAGGCGGGTGAAACAGCCGCCAGGCGGGTGAAACAGCCGCCAGGCGGGTGAAACAGCCGCCAGGCGGGTGGAACAGCCGCCAGGCGGGTGGAACAGCCGCCAGGCGGGTGGAACAGCCGCCAGGCGGGTGGAACAGCCGCCAGGCGGGTGGAACAGCCGCCAGGCGGGTGGAACAGCCGCCAGGCGGGTGGAACAGCCGCCAGGCGGGTGGAACAGCCGCCAGGCGGGTGGAACAGCCGCCAGGCGGGTGGAACAGCCGCCAGGCGGGTGGAACAGCCGCCAGGCGGGTGGAACGGCCGCCAGGCGGGTGAAACAGCCTCCAGGCGGGTGAAACAGTTTCCAGGCGGGTGAAACAGCCGCCAGGCGGGTGGAACAGCCGCCAGGCGGGTGGAACACCCTCCAGGTGATTGGTAAATAAATTTTGTATTTAATGATCTAACTAATATCAGGTCGTTGTAAAATAGTTATGAAATATATTTATTGCATTTCGTATTATACAATATTTCTTTCTCAATACACTTCTGTGAATACGCAAGGAACACAGAACGATTTTGGTGGTCTCTATATCCAGACTTAACTGTCTTTGCCATTTTATTATCCGGAATTCTCATTCTATGATGGGTAAGGCTTCAATGTTAAGTCTTCAGGCTTTCAGAATAGTTAAGACTTTTAAGGGGGCCTCACATCTAGACGGGAGAGTTAGTTATTCAGCTGTTGGAATTTGCATTTGTGAAGGCTGGTTGGCGCAAAATGGGACAGTCATCCTATTGTCATGGGGAAGTAGAACACCTTTGGTAAATATTGCCATGGGCAAGTAGAACACCTTTGGTAAGCATTGTCATGGGCAAGTAGGACACCTTTCGTAAGCATTGTCATGGGAAAATAGGACACCTTTGGTAAGCATTTTCATGGGGGAAGTAAGACATCTTTGGTAAGCATTGTCATGGGGAAGTAGAACACCTTTGGTAAGCATTGTCATGGGCAAGTAGAACACCTTTGGTAAGCATTTTCATGGGGGAAGTAAGACATCTTTGGTAAGCATTGTCATGGGGAAGTAGAACACCTTTGGTAAGCATTGCCATGGGAAACTAGAACACCTTTCGTAAGCATTTTCATAGGGAAAGTAAGACATCTTTTGTCCCAATTCACATAAACAGAAATAAAAACGAACAAAAGAGAATGCGAGATGGACAGGCCATCAAAGAAAACGAGACAATATCAAAAATTGAGACGAGAGACTTTCATATAACCTTAAAGTTCCTCCAGAAGTGAAGGCCAGCCCCTTAATAAAGTTGAAGTTTGAAGAGACGGTTTGAAGACCTGTCTTAAGTCCGTCAGAAGAGGAACGTATTTCAGGCCTTGCGTCAGGCAGCCCACTGATGACTCCTCTGTTTATCATTGTCTTTTTAATATTTGGGCATTAATTTTAATCAAAGATGCTCCTGGGCCTGATGTAGCTTCGGGCATTCATCTTCCTCACTCTGACTCGGCATCTACCATTCCAGGACGACCAGGACGACCAGGGACTTGGGAGGTGCTGGCGGAAGCGTTGTCGAGCAGAAGGTCACTTGGATCACGTCTCAGCTGAATATGGCACTTTATCACCTCAACTTTCTGGTGGGTACCAGTGTGCGCGCGCGCGCGTGAGCGCGCGCATGGGAGTGTAGGGGGAGCTGTGAGTGTGTGTGTGGCGGGGGAGGACTGCGTGCGTGGGGGTGTGTACGTGCGCATGCGTGAAATATGTAGAAGATATGATAGGAGAAAAAATAGATCGGGAATCAGTCCATTAGAAGAGCGACAGTTAGAAAGGCAGAGCCCAAGAGCTAACTGCTCTAACCTGCAGACACAAATAGTAAATAAACATTGAAATGATTTCACGAAAAGTTGGAGATACATTTTCTGACAATCGGAACACAGCTGCGAGAATATCAAAGTGCATCTCGTATCTTCCATTGTCATACGCGCTTCACTGGGCCTTCTCTGCCTCCTTCCGCCTCAATAAGTCCTTCACTGGACGACATAGTCACCCATCTATGATGCAATTGATCATTAGCCTGTTATAAGTGGCAGTCGCATCCTTAGCACCTGTTGTATTAAGTGTGGTCCTGATATTAAACAGTTCGAAATGTATTATTTGATTTATGCAGAGACGGTGGCCTGTCAGAAAGTTTCTATATATATAGCGTGATTGTTGGAGGTCGCTCTGAGATACGTAAGACACACATACTAAGCTACACAGTATCTTACTGGCATGATATATCTGAGAAAATCGTTTTAGTGTAGCAATGGAATCGAACAGTATTTCTCTTTTTCGATGTTGACCAAACCACACACTAGAAAGTGAAGGGACGACGACGTTTCGGTCCGTCCTGGACCATTCTTACATTCGACTTGAAATTGGTCCAGGACGGACCGAAACGTCGTCGTCCTTTCTCTTTCTAGTGTGGGGGTTTGGTCAACATATTTCAGCCACGTTATTGTGACTCCTCGCCTTCTCTTTTCGGTTTTATAATAGGCTTAGAACATGGGTTATGGTACTGAGCTTATCAGTTTATGATCTCGGAAAGTCAATGAAACCGAACGTATATTTTGTATTAACAAATTAAAATAAAGACCAGTAAGCAGTACAACTACATAACACTTGGAAGGAATACGAGGATTTGGCATAGGAAGGATTTGGATTTGATTTGGGACCACGAGGATTTGAAGCCTCTTAGACCTTAAGTGCCCTCTGTAATGCTTTTTGCGCTACCGCTCACAGAATAAGTATGGGGTGCACAATAAACTTCCCACCTCCGGGGGCAACAATCAACCAACCTATTTGTCTACGCATGTTCCTTTTATTTGCAAACCCCCCACGCACCCTATTATTATTAGTTATTATCATCTACGTTTTAAAAAATAAAGCAATCTGCCTTATTTTGCCATGCAACCTATTCCATAAAGTTATTCCATATTTCTAACTTGTATCCATTGTTTTGTGCTGTGTTCCTATTTTTAGCACCCTATTAATATAGCCCCATTGTTATACTGCTTCATTCATTTTCTGCTTCACTCATGTCCTCCTTTGCAAAGACGCAAAGCAAAAACTTTCTTAATCTCTTCATAATGAAAGTTTTCTAATGCCCAGGATTTACTTTGTCATCCTTCTTGGCTCACGTTCATGGCACTTTGTCAATTCAACTTTTTGTCGTCTTGACGCTTTGAGGTCGAGAAATTGAAATTGAAACAAGTTTGAGGTAAAATACACACAAAGGGATGAGGTAGCTCAAGCTATTCTCACCCCGTTCAGTACATCGTGTTAATACATACATAGACACACATTGTGTTGTTAAGACGTACAGGGAAGGAGACTGTACGGTATTTTGAGAGCTTTGAGTTCATCTCCAACTCCAAGAGCTTAGGAGGAGACGTTAGTGTTGAGTCGATACTCCAGGCGGTTACCCTTCAACACCCCCCCCCCTGGTCACTTCTTGAGGTTATCTTGAGATAATTTCAGGGCTTAGCGTCCCCGCGGCCCGGTCCTCTACCAGGTCTCCTTTTTGTTTTTTACAAGAATGTAAGAATTCTTGTATGTGTGTGTATATATATAGATATATATAATAATGTAATCTTTCCTCAATGAGCCACATAGTTTCATGATTTTATATCTGTTTTGAGTTATAAGCAAGTATTAATATATAATATTTCGTAACCTTGTACACATACGAGGACTTGAAAGACTTTGAAGACCCGACAGCTCAACTATTTGATTTACCAAGACGACAAACTGCTTGTTCCAGTATATACGTGGCCTTGACCTTCTTCCTTACTGTGTGTTCTTGATACTTTTTCATTATCTTTCTCTAGTAAACTCTGTTAGCTTGTGTATCTAGGTTTTATAAGCACTAGTATCTTGGATATTATATTGGCCTCTCATGAGTGGGAACTTAACACTGACCTATTATATGGGTTACCATATAATATATATGGGTTACCATATAATATATATGAGTCTGTACGGGTGCCAAACACGCTTGTTTCCTATGAATTTGCTTAACTCATAATGATTAATTATGCTGACTTGATAATTACTAACGTTAAGGGATGTGTAGCAGGCAATGACACTGTTTTTCCATGATTTATAGATAGGGAAATTAACTGGTTATGTCCTAGCAACTTATGTCCTAGCAACTTATGTCCTAGCAACTTATGTCCTATTGTGTTTCCACATGATTGCACTTTTCCAGCAACTTAGGTACCGTGTATGCACATACTTTGGACGTACGTGTATGTATATAAAATAACAGGCACTACATATACATCCCAATATGTTTCTCTACAGCACACAGCTTATAAAATATAAGATAATTGACCTCATTTGTGTCACTATATTTTCAAGATAAAACAAAAATTTACAAAATAATTAACATAAAAGGTTCTAATTCTCTTCCTCTCATTTCAGGATGTTGAGGCTGTATTACACAGCATTAATGGAGGAGATACCAAGATTCTGTGGCGACGCAAGATTGCTAACGTTTCTTACTTCATACGTTTCAATTTGCAGGATATTTTGGTTTGCAAGACATTGAACCTTTCTTTCAAAATGGGATAATATACCCTTAGACGAATCTGTGAGGATTTTGATCCTCATTCAGCGTTGGGATTTCTTATCCTTTGGCATTTCAAAACCGATTTTGAAAGAGCTGATTATCATAAATTCGCCAGATTTTAATGTCAAGAGGCTGAAGTATTTGGAGTTGAAACTTCATTCATTTGTCTCTAGCTGAAATCTCTTTGAAACGGAGGCTTTCTTGTCAAGCTGGTCCGAGAAAAATATTGTATTTTACGTGTTAAATGGATACATAATATGTTAGTGTTGATTTATAACAAAGACGTGCAGATAGGTATATTAAAAAGGAATGAACAATATAAAAATTATATATATATATATATATATATATATATATATATATATATATATATATATATATATATATATATATATATATATATATATATATATATATATAATATATATAATTTATTGCACAGTATTAATGCAATGTCAGTTTTATACTTGCATTAAAAGGAATTTAAAATTATAGTATTTCAAGTGGCTTGTTTAAAACCAGAGTTAATAAGTTTTTTGTATGTTCCCAAGTAATTGCCACTGCACTAGAAAATTACCTGTACACCGCAGTTTATCTCATTAAATAATAATTTGTCATTTTACCATTGTGATATATTAATCATTTACTATATAATCTTGGTTTAAAATATATAAGTCGTTTCCTGAACTAGTGGTTTCCTTGCCTAATAATACTAGGGGGCCTCAGGGTAGTATAGTTGACATATTGAACTATACCTTGAGGTGATTCCGGGGCTTAGCGACCCCGCGGCCCGGTCGTCGGCCAGGCCTCCTCGTGGCCTGGGCAAAGCAACCATGTCAAGAGTAATTATCAAAGAGAAAGCATCAAAGTATTGGAACTGGTTTATTTCGGGGAAACTAAATATTTTGCAAAGTTTAAGCACGAATTTGTCAATGATCTTCCACTCTATACGATGGGATGAAAATGAGAGACGGTTCGCCAGAACTTTTGTTGTTCAAGATTCGCTACTTGGAACAAAAAGTTCCAAGCAGCACGGGCTATGGAGAGCCCGTAGTTACTCGCCAGAACTTTGAACACATCCTGCACATGAACCAGTCAGTGTCAAAATCCAAGAATCCAAAATACACGTTACCCATAGAATTCAATCAGACTAAAGAAAAGACTGAAGCAATCTCTTGGGTTTCAGATAATGATTCACCACTGAGCAGTCTGAGCACAGACAGACCATGGAGCCAATCAGGAGACAGACAGCAACCACTGTACCAGACCATTGCAAATTTTCCTCAATGTACTGTGCATGTAATGCACAGTACCTTCTTGTATATAAATAAATCAATATGAACCCTGTATGCACCCTGAGCTGTGCGTACAGACGGGTTTGTTATCTACTCGCAATCGAGATTCCCGGATTCGAATCCCGGGCGAGCCAGAAATGATGGCTCACATTTTCTTTCACCTAATGCCGCTGTTCACCTAGGAGTGAGTAGGTACTCAGGAGTGAGTCAGCTTGTTGTTGGGTTGAGTCGTTGGCGGGGTGAGTAATTCAGCCCTGAGTAAGGGGGAGGGGCTTGTTATAAGCCTAACGAATATGAATACACACTGGCTCCCTGTCCCCCGACACTATGAATTATGTGTAGCTTGTATCACCCCATGTACTCCGTACTACTACATGTACTCTGGGAGTCCGCCCTGAGCACCCGTGGAGCGAGGACGTGTTCCGGCATACATGATTGCTGGGGGTTGTTTGCCATTTTGGTCGCCAGGTGGCGTGGGCGTCTCTGCCCTCCCAGTGTTGTTCCGTGCCTGGCTGCGTGCTGACGTGGCAGTTCTGTCATTTGGCCTTGCAATTCCTCCTGTTCTGCGGGTGAATTCCGTGGGTCTGGAGTTCTCGTGTAAGGTTGGTTATCCGGCCATTGAGTAGATGTGCGACATGCTTCGTGTCCCGGTGGAGGCTGTCTACGGACTTGAGCTTGTGACGGCCCTACCGGGTGATTATCAAGTCCGTGCTGGAGGGAGGGGGAGTATCGGGACTTCTCCGTCGGTACGAAGGCCGTTCGTTGCAGTTGCTGGATGGCGCCGGCTCTGTTGCGGTCTCGGACCGAAGTGGTGCCCTGACTTATGGAGTTCTGGGGGCCAGATTCACGGAAGCACTTACGAACGTGTACATCTTTCCTCAATCTTTGACGGCTTTGATTACATTTATTAAACAGTTTACAAGCATGAAAACTTCCCATTCAACTGTTGTTATTGTTATAAACATCCTCCTCGTGCTTCGGAGCTCATTAACTGTTTAATAAGTGGAAACAAAGCCGCCAAAGTTTGAGAAAAGATGTACAGGTTCGTAAGTGCTTGCGTAAGTGCTTTCGTGAATCTGGCCCCTGGAGTTCCCTGAAGACCTTCTCCGGCGCTTCTTCGGGAAGTATGGTGCAGTTATCAGTGTGCGGGTGAACTCGCTTTCCTCGGGGAAGTATGCTGGGAAGTAGGCGAACATCCGTACCTTAGGTATGCGCCTGCGGTCGGATATATCCCATATTCTGTCCGGGTGCTGGGTTACTACGTTCGGGTGTGTTATACCCGGCAGCCCCGTACCTGTTAACGATGTGGTTCATACTGAACCTGTTCCGAAGGATGTCGTGTTACTTTGGGAGGCGTATTGTGTTCGTTTCCCGGCGACGGAGTGGCTGGATAAGTGTGAGAAATTTGAGTAGTCTGTGTGCTTGCTGGGTGTTTGGTGTGTGTTTTGTGTGTGTTTGGTGTGTGCTTGCTGTGTGTTTTGTGTGTGCTTGCTGTGTGTTTTGTGTGTGCTTGCTGTGTGTTTGCTGTGTGCTTGCTGTGTGTGTTTGGTGTGTGCTTGCTGTGTGTTTTGTGTGTGCTTGCTGTGTGTTTGCTGTGTGCTTGCTGTGTGTGTTTGGTGTGTGCTTGCTGTGTGTTTGCTGTGTGCTTGTTGTGTGTGTTTGGTGTGTGCTTGCTGTGTGCTTGCTGTGTGCTTGCTGTGTGCTTGTTGTGTGTGTTTGCTGTGTGCTTGCTGTGTGTTTGCTGTGTGTTTGGTGTGTGTGTTTGGTGTGTGTTTGCTGTGTGCTTGCTGTGTGCTTGCTGTGTGTGTTTGTTGTGTGTTTGCTGTGTGCTTGTTGTGTGTGTTTGCTGTGTGCTTGTTGTGTGTGTTTGCTGTGTGCTTGTTGTGTGTGTTTGCTGTGTGCTTGTTGTGTGTGTTTGCTGTGTGCTTGCTGTGTGTTTGCTGTGTGCTTGTGTGTGTTTGCTGTGTGCTTGCTGTGTGTTTGCTGTGTGCTTGCTGTGTGTGTTTGCTGTGTGCTTGCTGTGTGTGTTTGCTGTGTGCTTGCTGTGTGTGTTTGCTGTGTGCTTGCTGTGTGTGTTTGCTGTGTGCTTGCTGTGTGTGTTTGCTGTGTGTGTTTGCTGTGTGCTTGCTGTGTGTGTTTGCTGTGTGCTTGCTGGGTGTTTGCTGTGTGCTTGCTGTGTGTGTTTGCTGTGTGCTTGCTGGGTGTTTGCTGTGTGCTTGGACCTGTGGTTTGTTTGCAATGTGTTGTACCTATTGTGCGCCCTTCACGCTGGTGTTGTGTTTGTTCTCATGATCGTTGTTTTGTTGTGTTTCTTGTCTTTCCGGGATTGTTGTTTCTTTTTCCTGTGTTTCATTATGTTTGTTTCATTGTTGTGTTTTTGTTGTGGGCCCTTCAGGACGGTATTTAGGCCCTTATTTAGTGTCTTTGTATAAATTTGTTTTGATTTGTTTTGTGCTGAAGTGTCTTGTTATTTTTCTTGATGTACTTTCTGTTTTATTCTCGGTCCTACAGGCCAGTGTATGTCTGTTTCTGTATTATTATGTACCTGTATTTGTCTTTGTTTCTGTTTTGTGTATTGTGCTATACTTTGCGTATTTCTTTTATAAAAAAAAAAAACTACATGTACTCCTATACCCCTCACATGTACTTTGTACCCCCTCATATGTACTCTGTACCCCCAACATGTACTCTGTACCCCTCATATGTACTCTGTACCCCTCATATGTACTCTGTACCCCCAACATGTACTCTGTACCCCTCATATGTACAGCGGCGGTGGGTCACATTTTGCCCAAACCCCCCTGCAGTTTTCAAAATATCCCAAACATCCCAAATTCGATACCTGAGCCATATTTTGGACATAAATTCTGGCTCTCTGCACCTATTCGCAGTTTGAAATTCCGACTTTTTATACTAAAAATATCCCAATTACTGAAAGCGGCGGTGGGTCACATTTTGTCCAAACCCCCCTGCAGTTTTCAAAATATCCCAAACATCCCAAATTCGATACCTGAGCCATATTTTGGACATAAATTCTGGCTCTCTGCACCTATTCGCAGTTTGAAATTCCGACTTTTTATACTAAAAATATCCCAATTACTGAAAGTGGCGGTGGGTCACATTTTTCCCAAACCCCCCCGCCCCCCCCTGCAGTTTTCAAAATATCCCAAACATCCCAAATTCTATACCCGAGCCATATTTTGGACCCAAATTCTGGCTCTCTGCATCTATTCGCAGTCACCCTATTCACACCCTCTCACATGTACTCTGTACAGTTACAAGAGAATGTTGTATTTTGTTTGAAAATTAGATTTTGAAATTATTAACGTCAAACATTCAAGCTGGGGATCATTATTGGTTCATTAGAGACTCGTTCGTGTTTGTGGGAGTGAAGGAGTGGCTGTTGGCCATTGTTAATTGGCACTTCAGACTCGCAAAATGTTAACCAATGGGGGTGAAGTTTAGGGTGAATGTCGACCAATCAGCGGCCGGGTTTGACTGGCTGCTGGCTATAAAAGTGACGACGAGATAAAAAGCACTTCAGTGTTGTTTTACCTCACTTTTGGTATACAGTTCCAGCTTCGTCTCTTGAAGGTGAGCTGTATGGTGAGGACCTTCCCCCCTGCCCCTCCCCCTTGTCGCGTCCCCCCCTTCCCTCCCCCTTGTCGCGTCCCCCCCTTCCCTCCCCCTTGTCGCGTCCCCCCCTTCCCTCCCCCTTGTCGCGTCCCCCCCTTCCCTCCCCCTTGTCGCGTCCCCCCCTTCCCTCCCCCTTGTCGCGTCCCCCCCTTCCCTCCCCCTTGTCGCGTCCCCCCCTTCCCTCCCCCTTGTCGCGTCCCCCCCTTCCCTCCCCCTTGTCGCGTCCCCCCCTTCCCTCCCCCTTGTCGCGTCCCCCCCTTCCCTCCCCCTTGTCGCGTCCCCCCCTTCCCTCCCCCTTGTCGCGTCCCCCCCTTCCCTCCCCCTTGTCGCGTCCCCCCCTTCCCTCCCCCTTGTCGCGTCCCCCCCTTCCCTCCCCCTTGTCGCGTCCTCCCCTTCCCTCTCCCTTTGTCGCACCCCCTGACCCTTGTCGCCTCTCTCCCTTTTCTCTGGTTCCCCGTACTAGAACTTGGTAAATATATGGCGAAAAGTACTATTATTTCAGATTTTCTTTGACGAATCGAAGGTTTGGTTAAGTGGGCATAATGCTGCGTGGCGCTACAGCGGACCCAAACTGGCTGGTGACTCTCTTCTCTACCCCACAACTTGTATCATGCGAGAGGCTAGCCATTAACGTCTGGCCTTCGAGTTTTCTACGAACGAAAATGTTAATCTTTAGGATGTCTATCCACGGTGTTAGTCTCTTTATTTTTATACTATCAACGTTAATTACGTAACTTCCTGTCGTATATTAATCGTAAAATTGCATTAGAGTAGCATTTCATTAGATTTATATAATTTCAGTCTACTTATACTAGAACTTTACAAAAAGTTAATAGAATAATTCGTCCTGACCATTTGAACCTTGATAGTTAACTACCGGTTGGTAGTGGTGCAATTGTCAGCGCCTGGGGGGGGGGGAGGGTGGTCTATACAAGGCAGTCAGAAGGTTGACAAACACGGTTAAGAGTAAAATCCCGATGCTAGTCTCCGGACACACCCCACCCCACCCCACCACAGTGCATTGCTCTAACAGTTCAGAAAGTTGTTGTAGTTGGCTTATGTACAGTATAGCCATACACGTGGACTGTTCCCATTACTTAGGACAATGTTAACATTTAGTCTGTGTTAAATTGTTAAATGTAGACAGTTGATACGTTTTCACTTTAGTGTAAAAAGTTAAACTAGTTTTAAACCTGTTGATTTATCAGTTCTATATTACGTCCAACAGTTCACTCTTCAAGCGACAACGTTGTCCATCCAACACCTTCCTGTCTTAAAGATACTCCGGCTTCCATTCGCCTCTCAGCCCCCAGCTTAAGTCTGTCTTAAAGGCCACGGCAAACTGGACACTCCATCCTGTGGAATACCCGGTAACGTATTAAGTAAAATGTTCTAATTTGATTACTCTAAATCCCATACATCAAACACGTAATGTGCTTGGAGTACCCAAGATGCAGGTTGGAATACTAAACATGATTTTGTTCCATTTCGGTAAATTAATAATAAATTTAACTTGTATCTTTCAGATACATGAAGCAAGGGCTGGTACGAACTACCGCTTCTGTGAATACCGATACCTACAGCTGGTATCAAACTACTCCTGATAGTCTTACCAGAGACTTCCAGCTACTTAGTATCAGATAAGGATAGACTTAATGCAGAGCGTTATAGCCAGAAGTAAGTTTCTTAGTGCTTAAAATGGTTATAGTTATTGAAATACATGTGCATTAAACTTAATGTAGTAATCCTGCTGAACTAAGGTTTAGTAAATGGTCAGTCTAAAACTAATGTTTTTGTAGGTGGGATCCAGTTCATGTGGGCAACGAGCGAGGCACGAGGACCTGGAGGTGGCCATCATGTACACTGTCCTCCAACTGGTGTCACACTGAAAAGTCAGTATGGCTGGATATATTTTGTCATACAGCTCAAATTGTCATACCATACAGGGCGTTTAGTAGACGTCTAGAGTGCAAGTTACTCATAAGGTCTTCACCGGCTGTAAGGAAGTCTGTAAACTTGTCTAAAGATCTCTTATTTTAAGGAATATAATTATTCTAATTACTCCCTTCCTGTCCCCAGGCTCGAGCGACCACAGCCAGACAACAGGAAAGGCGATGAGGACAGTCTCGGGGTACTGGAGAACGTCTAACAGCGACGTAAGTGGCAAGACATTGCCTGTCACCACGCCAAGTCTGTCATCTGTGACGCCAGCCTTTATTTTTAGCCACAAAATGGCTAGTTTCCTGAATGGTGAAGTTGTAAAATATTCAAGATTATTAGCTGGTTTAAATTAATATCTTAATGCTTAAGTGTCTACAGAACTTGCTACTTAGGAGCTGAAGTGTCGTAGTTAAGAATTAATTCTAATAGAATTACTCTAACTTAAGGAAAGCTATTAAGGGCTTGACTTCAGTGTCACAATGACATTGGAACAATGCAGGGGGGGATACATGTAAACACCCCCCCCCCCCACCACCGACCAGTGTGTAGGTGGATTACTTGTAAAGTCATTAGGAATATGTGCAGAATAATAAACCCCAGTGTTAGAAAAATACTGTAAAACTGTTCAAAATATTTCCCAACCCCCATTTTGCACCCACAAGTACTTAAAGATTGATATTTTGTTCTTGTTTGACAAAGATCTTCACTTGACTGTTACATGTAAAGTCCCAGCTGTGTCTGGGTAGAAGTGACAGGATGAACAACCCAGCGGGTTATCTTCCTATTGGGGAGTGTTGTACATGCTGCTATGGCGGTGTGTCCACTCACAGGATGAGTGGCGCTGCCCAATACTGTCACTATGGCGGTGTGTCCGCTCACAGGATGAGTGGCGCTGCCCAATAAACTCGCCCCTCGGGGCACAAACTAACCTGATTGTGCCAACATTTTTGAACCTCGCTCCCAGTGACCTCACTAGGTATCTTAAGTTTTGTCCTGTTTGGCATATCTGGAAGAACATGCCAAACAATGTTTCTTCCAGTATATCTGGAAGAAACTTGAACGCTGGCTAGACTCTCTAGTCTTCTAATACATTTTACAGGTTATTGTATTAACACATTTTAACAAGGCAACTAAATGACTTCCTTAGTTGCCTAATTTTTCTATCCACAGAACTGTATTCTATATTGCGACAGAGTAGAGTAATAAATCTCTACTCGTACATATTTATACATGGAATAGATTATAGATTTCCATCTTGTGAAGATAATGGGGGGGGGAGAAGTTTTGCTATAGCAAGACGTAGAATTGTTTAATTTGGAACAAAAGAATGATTCGCGCATGTTCGGTGTTGAGCTTGTTCCATCTCGATTTAAATTGTGAACTACGATTTTTCCTTTAGTAATGGATATCCTATTTACTTTATGGTGATTTTCTACTGTAAAAAAATAGCAAAGATGAGTGCCACAAATGGCCTGGCAACAAAAGCGTAATTACAATTATTTAACCTATACCTATAATAGGTTAAGTATAATAATTAATTACTTAACCTAGTATAGGTTAAGTAATAACTAATTACGAAGCAATAAGATGCTTACCTTAACATACTAAGAATGTTAGGTAAGGTCGGTGTTTTCTATGAAGCTTTTCAAGGTAAACTAGTATGTTTAGTGTCACATATGCACGTATTTAAGTCAATATTGACTATACGAAAGTGCGAGAACGGGTTGCTTATTGCTGGCTCCATTAATCCCAGAAACTTGTTTTCCTAAGGTTTTGTTCCACTAGTCTCTTGAGCTAAAAGTTTTCCCATGTGATGCTATAGTTTTTTAGCTCCTACTCTAAACCATATTAACAGTACAGTTGACCTTCTGAAGAAAGCTGTCAGACGTTTCTGCCACTTAATGTCTTTACTTGTATTAATCAAAGATTTAATTTATATTGAAGACAGTACGACAATGAAATGTAAATAACTACTATGGTGTTATTAAACTCTTCCTATCGATGTCCTGTATTGGTGTGGACTTATTACAAATTGAATAAATTTTTGTATTTTTTCAAAGTGTTTACATCTAGACATTAGTTGTGGCCATCAAACTTACGAACAAGTCTGATCTGGTCGTCCAACAGTACTTATATGGGCATTTATGGTACTTATAAGGGCATTTATGGTACTTATAAGGGCATATGTATGGTAGTTATAAGGGTATATGTATGATACTTATAAGAACATATGTATTGTTCCTATAAGGGTATAAGTATGGTACCTTTTTGGGCATATGTATGTTACTTAAGAGCTTTTGTATGGTACCTCAATGGGCATATGTATTGTTCTTATATGGGCATATGTATGACACTTATATGGGATTGAGTATGGTACCTTTATGGGTATGTGTTTGGTACTTATGTACTTACGTACCTTTTACCTTACACAGACAGTCATCCGTATTTTATAGATATAGAAGATAGACAATGATTAAATCAAGGAATAAAAACTTGACCAGCGGACGAAGACAAAGATGGGGTACATACAGCCCGCCGCCTGCAAAGAATCAGAGCCCTGGCGAAATCGTCATTTTTCACAAAACTCAAAATCAAAACCAGCCATAGAATCGTTTTGAAAATGGTACCATTGTGTTTACCACAGCAATTTACTTTTCTTTCTATAAAGTCTTTCTTTGCTAATTTTAAATATTAACGCCTATACTGCCATATTTACAAAGATACAGCCACCTCAAATATCAAACCTATCATCGTGTTTTCTCAACAAATTACTAAGGAAAATGAGTTTTAAAAAATGTAATAATAATCAAAATGAGCTAAATAATAAATGGATAATCAAAATAACATTATATCAATATTCCTCATGTATTTAGAGACTACTATGCATGGTGCGTATATGGGCATATGTATGCTACTTATAAAGGCATTTGTATGGTACCTATATTGGCATATGAATGGTACTTATATGGGCATTTATGGTACTTATAAGGGCATATGTATGGTAGTTATAAGGGTATATGTATGATACTTATAAGAACATATGTATTGTTCTTATAAGGGTATAAGTATGGTACCTTTTGGGCATATGTATGTTACTTATAAGAGCTTTTGTATGGTACCTCAATGGGCATATGTATTTTTCTTATATGGGCATATGTATGACACTTATATGGGATTGAGTATGGTACCTTTATGGGTATGTGTTTGGTACTTATGTATTTACGTACCTCTATGGTACTTACGTACCATTTACCTTACACAGACAGTCATCCGTATTTTATAGATATAGAAGATAGACAATGATTAAATCAAGTAATAAAAACTTGACCAGCTGACGAAGACAAAGATGAGGTACATACAGCCCGCCGCCTGCAAAGAATCCAAGCCCTGGCGAAATCGTCATTTTTCACAAAACTCAAAATCAAAACCAGCCATAGAATCGTTTGAAAATGGTACCATTGTGTTTACCACAGCAATTTACCTTTCTTTCTATAAAGTCTTTCTTTGCTAATTTTAAATAATAACGCCTATACTGCCATATTTACAAAGATACAGCCACCTCAAATATCAAACCTATCATCGTGTTTTCTCAACAAATTACTAAGGAAAATGAGTTTTAAAAAATGTAATAATAATCAAAATGAGCTAAATAATAAATGGATAATCAAAATAACATTATATCAATATTCCTCATGTATTTAGAGACTACTATGCATGGTGCGTATATGGGCATATGTATGCTACTTATAAAGGCATTTGTATGGTACCTATATTGGCATATGAATGGTACTTATATGGGCATTTATGGTACTTATAAGGGCATATGTATGGTAGTTATAAGGGTATATGTATGATACTTATAAGAACATATGTATTGTTCTTATAAGGGTATAAGTATGGTACCTTTTGGGCATATGTATGTTACTTATAAGAGCTTTTGTATGGTACCTCAATGGGCATATGTATTTTTCTTATATGGGCATATGTATGACACTTATATGGGATTGAGTATGGTACCTTTATGGGTATGTGTTTGGTACTTATGTATTTACGTACCTCTATGGTACTTACGTACCATTTACCTTACACAGACAGTCATTCGTATTTTATAGATATAGAAGATAGACAATGATTAAATCAAGTAATAAAAACTTGACCAGCTGACGAAGACAAAGATGAGGTACATACAGCCCGCCGCCTGCAAAGAATCCAAGCCCTGGCGAAATCGTCATTTTTCACAAAACTCAAAATCAAAACCAGCCATAGAATCGTTTTGAAAATGGTACCATTGTGTTTACCACAGCAATTTACCTTTCTTTCTGTAAAGTCTTTCTTTGCTAATTTTAAATATTAACGCCTATACTGCCATATTTACTGAGATACAGCCACCTCAAATATCAAACCTATCATCGTGTTTTCTCAACAAATTACTAAGGAAAATGAGTTTTAAAAAATGTAATAATAATCAAAATGAGCTAAATAATAAATGGATAATCAAAATTACATTATATCAATATTCCTCATGTATTTAGAGACTACTATGCATGGTGCGTATATGGGCATATGTATGCTACTTATAAAGGCATTTGTATGGTACCTATATTGGCATATGAATGGTACTTATATGAGTATTTATGGTACTTATAAGGGCATATGTATGGTAGTTATAAGGGTATATGTATGATACTTATAAGAACATATGTATTGTTCTTATAAGGGCATAAGTATGGTACCTTTTTGGGCATATGTATGTTACTTATAAGAGCTCTTGTATGGTACCTCAATGGGCATATGTATTTTTCTTATATGGGCATATGTATGACACTTATATGGGATTGAGTATGGTACCTTTATGGGTATGTGTTTGGTACTTATGTACTTACGTACCTCTATGGTACTTACGTACCATTTACCTTACACAGACAGTCATCCGTATTTTATAGATATAGAAGATAGACAATGATTAAATCAAGTAATAAAAACTTGACCAGCTGACGAAGACAAAGATGGGGTACATACAGCCCGCCGCCTGCAAAGAATCCAAGCCCTGGCGAAATCGTCATTTTTCACAAAACTCAAAATCAAAACCAGCCATAGAATCGTTTTGAAAATGGTACCATTGTGTTTACCACAGCAATTTACCTTTCTTTCTGTAAAGTCTTTCTTTGCTAATTTTAAATATTAACGCCTATACTGCCATATTTACTGAGATACAGCCACCTCAAATATCAAACCTATCATCATTTTTCTCAACAAATTACTAAGGAAAATGAGTTTTAAAAAATGTAATAATAATCAAAATGAGCTAAATAATAAATGGATAATCAAAATTACATTATATCAATATTCCTCATGTATTTAGAGACTACTATGCATGGTGCGTATATGGGCATATGTATGCTACTTATAAAGGCATTTGTATGGTACCTATATTGGCATATGAATGGTACTTATATGAGTATTTATGGTACTTATAAGGGCATATGTATGGTAGTTATAAGGGTATATGTATGATACTTATAAGAACATATGTATTGTTCTTATAAGGGCATAAGTATGGTACCTTTTTGGGCATATGTATGTTACTTATAAGAGCTCTTGTATGGTACCTCAATGGGCATATGTATTTTTCTTATATGGGCATATGTATGACACTTATATGGGATTGAGTATGGTACCTTTGTAACGACCGCTTCCCTCTGTAATAACCGCGGCCTCTATTGTAATAACCCAATAACCCAATGTTCCCCAGTATTAATCCTGTTATCTTGTTATCTCTCGTGATCGTAATATACGCTCTCTGTTGTACATCTCTGTCTCTTCACTCAATACCCCAGCTTAACACTGTTACAGTCCAGTATGACCCCTCACTGGACTGCCACGTATGTAAGAGGAATATTAAATGAGGAAGATACACCAAGGACAAGGGTTATTAGTTAAAAAAAAAAACAATAACAAAACACATTTACACTGCCACCACCTTCCTGACCAACCATACCTGAATGTGTCAATCACCGATCCCCCAGGAAGGCAAGGAATCAGTAACCATGGGACTCCGGGTAATATGAATTTCAGAAATAAATTTTGGAAAATTAGTTTGTGTAATTTACGTTACTTATTTGAATCCAAGGGCAACTTTAGTACCTATTAATAGTAGGAGAACATGGGGGCTTCCAATACAACACCTAAAAATGACAAAGTAGCAAAATATATCAAAGGGGAGTTAAGTGAATACCACTGGACAAGCTATACAATTTATTTTATGAAACATGTAAATTAAGACAATTTGAACACATAACCTATTCTATTTCCTAGAGGCACAATGGATATTTACCGAGGACACAAAACTCAAGTGCACTATACCTTAAATACCCGCACCACGGCCAAGATGTTGATGGCTGCCCTCAGCCCCGAGGATACGGGCTTGCGGCCCTGTTCCTAATACACTCCCAAGACACACTGATGAAATTTAGTTTTTCCAACTTATTGCTGGGAAGGATTACTCCTCCCACCATCTACTACAGCCCCAGGGCTCCACC